ATCATCATCGTCACCTTCGTATTCCTCGTCGTCCCGAAGTTCGTCGACGGTGACCATGTTCATGAGGATGAGGATGCGCGTGGCCACCAGCTGCTGCGTCGGCATCGTTGGAGCCGGCAGCGGCAGGCCAGCGCCCGACGGCGGCGGCAGTGGCAGCGACATGGGCGGCGGTTGCGAGATGGGGCCGGGCGTGATGGGTGCACCAGGCGCAGCAGGCTTCAACGGCGCAGACATGGGCGGGAGTGGCATCATGGGGCCGCCAGGGCCCTGCATGCCCGCAGACTTGAACGCAGGAATCGAGTGCATCGGGTTGTTCTGCTGTGCCTGTCAGGCGCACGGTGCAAAAGAACATCAAGTGGACGTGTGAATGGAGATGTAATAGAAGCGTGCTGGTTGCAAAAACGAAAGAGGCAGTGTACCGTGTAACACAACCTATATTGGTACACTGCTTGAGTGGGTTGAAAAAAAAAGAAAAAAAAAGGGAAGGACGTACGCCGCCACGTGCACCGATGGAGGCGCGCTGGACAAGAAGGCGCTTCTCGCCAATACGGAGGTCATTCAACGCCCCAATCATCTGCAGCAGCAGCAGCAACAACAACAGTAACAATTATGAGCACAAGAAGAGGAAACAGGCAGATGGGTCCGTGAGAAGCAAGCGTGGTCAGAAGCAACACCACGACAAGTCACACACACACATGTAAGCACGCACACACGTACGCACATGCGCGCACATATACATTCGTGCATGCGCACAAACACACACACACCGTGTCTGTGATTGCTGGGTCCATGTACTCGCAAAAGGCGAATCCCTTTGACTGCCCCGTGGATGTGTCCATGACGAGGTGGAACGACTTGAGCTGGCCAAAGGGCTCAAGCAGCTCCTTCACTTGCTCCTCGCTCAGATACGGCGGGATGCCGCCAATGTAAATCTTGTAAGGCGAGTCCTGCACCACCGCAGACACATTCGCCCCGCTCTGCATCGGAATCTGAACAAGCGACGTTGTGGCACACCATGGGCGGGGCAAGAAGGGATGAGTGTGGCCAATGGCTGAACAAGCGCACATGTGCAGGCATGAACGCATACACGTACACACACACGCATATCATATGAACATAGACACATGTGAACACACATACACACGGCACAAAACTAAAGAGGCCAGTTCAAAACAACGTCATTTCACCACACACGATACAAGCGCACAAAGCCAAGACAGAACACGACATGATAGGCCTCGATTGCGTACCCGTGTGATGTGGCCCTTTGGAGCCTCGTAGTTGTCTGGGCGGCGGACCCGCAGCTGCGCGCCCTTGAAGCGCTCGCGATCAAAGACAAGCCCGTTGGTCGCCTCGTCGACAGACCGAAACTCAAGCACCGCAGACTTGCCGTCCTCGCTCAGCGTGCACTTGATGACGGGCTGGCCAGGCTGTGTGATGAGCTTGTTGGACGCGATGCAGTCGTTCATAAACGACATGAGGTCGTGGTCGCGCGTGCCCTCCGGCAGGTTCTCCACCACCAGTTGACGCGTAGGCAGCGGCACATTCAGCAGCGCCTCCTGTGCAGCGGGGAAAGCAAACAAACAAACAAACACACGGCATATGAGACGATAAGTGGGGTCAAGATAAGTGTATCGAAGGAAAAGGGAGGAGGGGAGGAGGGGAGGAGGGGAGGAGGGTCAATACACAATCGAGCGCACCTTTCCAAACGTCTTCCACATGCACAAAAGAGACAAGACCACGGAGCACGCACGCAACATCTATGCACATACGCACACACGCACGCATACACATGTGCAACTCACGTCAGAATCGCCGGTGTACAAGGGCGGCGGGAGGGTGTTGGAGGCTGAAGCAAACGGAATGAAACGGGGAAGAGACGCGGGAAATAGAGCAAGGCCAACAAGGGAGTGCAGAGTTGTGAGTCACCAAACAGCACACTTGTCCACCCGTCTTAATGGCAGAAGCAATGAGGTTCACACACACAAACAGCACAACACACACACACACACACACTGAGGGAGCATCAGGAAGTTGGTTGTCATCAAACAAGACGCCACGGCCATAATGCGGCAGGCAACCGCGGTCGCGTGGAGCGTCAGGCGCAAATTACACTTAATGCATCACGTGCTCGCATCAAAACTTTACATGGATAGCATTGGGGGCACACGGAGACGTGGGGCAAGGCACCGTTCAAGGGGAACAGCACATGCGAAAGACAGTCGGCATCACTCACCAAGGGCCTCCTTGTACTGCTGAGGGGTCATGTGCTCATATCCAAACGGCGCCTCGTCCCACGCCGTGGACGGCCTGCTCACACGCGTTTGCAGACGGGGAAGGCGGGCAGCGTCAAGGCAATGTTGGCAAGGTCATGCGAGAGTGTGTTTGTGTGTGTTTTGTTATGCTGTTTTCGTGTGTGTGTGTGTGTGTGTGTGTGTGTGTGTGTGTGTGTGTGTGTGTGTGTGTGTGTGTGTGTGTGTGTGCGCGCGCGCGCGACGAC